GGCTGAACACCCCCAGCTCCCTCAGCCGCTCCCCATCAGTCTTGTGCTCCAGACCCTCCACCAGCTTCATTGAAACTACTTCATCCCAGTAGTTCCCCACCAACACAGCCTCTCTCTTCCCCAGTTCCCCGGATTTGACGACCTCTACTGCAAGTTCTGCTTTGTCTACGGCCAAGACTGGGTTCCCACAGCGGTAAGGCCCCATTGCACGCCCCTGAAACCCAGCCTGCCTGCCAGGCCCACCGGCCACGTGGGTTTAGTGCAGGCCCCTGGCTCACACTACGTTCTCCCCACAGGGCCTGGAGGAGGGCATCTCCCAGATCACCTCCAAGAGCAACATCGCGCCCACCACGCTCGTCTGGAACTTCCCCATCGACATTACCTTCAAGAGCACCAACCCGTCTGGCTGTGAGTGCTGGGGGTGGTGGGATCCTGCTCGCAGACCAGGCACCCCTCTCACACACGCTTCATTTGCAGGGCCGCAGATTGTAGTGAGCGTCTACGGACCCGACTTTTTTGGAAACGATGTGGTCAGAGGTTATGGAGCTGTTCATGTTCCCTTCACACCCGGAAGGTGAGGTGACAACCTGTTTTTCGGGACTGAAATGGAGATTTTTTTTTTTTTTTTTTTTTCCTAGTTACTATGTTGTTCCAGAAACAAAAATATTCCCATATCTCCTTATCATGTCTTGTCCGTTTGGTACAAAGAGCATGGATTTTCTAGCAGCAGCCCTTGGTTATCAATTTTTGGTAATCCTGTAGACAACTGTAAAGTCAAAACTGGCACGTAGCAAGGCCAAGTATGAAGCGTAGTACGTTACCTCTCCCCCATCACTCTCAGCACGTGCTAAGCTTTCATTCCCACCACTGGTAACGGAAGAAGATATGCTCTTCCTATGCAAACAAACCCTTTCTTTGTGGAAGGGAAAGTATTATATTTTGAGATGTTCAGTGGTCTGATGTCTCTGAAATTCTGATACCTTTATAAATATAAGAAGTCTTGCCAGTGCTGTTCATTTCTTAAGTTCTGTGAGTTTCATGTGTGTTTTAGGCATACAAGAACCATCCCTATGTTTGTTCCAGAATCCACATCTAGGCTGCAGAAGTTTACAAGGTACTCATTAAAGATTTTTTTTTTTTTAAAGTCCTACTCACTAGTGCATACATGTGAATACTTTGTATCATAACCAGATAGTATTGTAGGTAAAATCACGTTTTCAGATGTCTAGGTCTTGTGAAGAGCTTTCTTAAAACATGCTAACTACCTGCTTGCAGTAATGCTAACTCACCTTTTTTTCATCCTCACATTTGAACACTGTTGCTTTGAAAAAGAACTAATTTCAGCAGAGCAGAGCAGACTGATAGATGAGTTCTTGCACTGAGTGGCAGCTCCATGTTCCACAGGTTGATTCACGTCACTGATGTGACTTGCAGAGGCGCTACTTAGACGAATTTTACTGAGCGTTTTAGTTGTCACTGGACTCTGAGGAGGTGTGCTGCAGTCCATCCCTAAATCTTACTGTACCTAGGGGCTTTTCTTGAAGGACAGCCACATTAATAGCAATATGGAAAGTAAAGGCAGAACATCAAAAAACAATTCCCAGTTCCACCTTTCCTTCCATCTGGGATGCATTTGCTGTAACCTTTGTCATGTTTACACACACGCATCCCTTCCGAAGTAGCGGTCTATACACAACAGCTGAGGGTATTAAGGTTTTTTTCCTTCCATTGTATTGTTTAAGTACAGTCTGAACAATCCGTGAGCTGACTGTTCAGTTGTGGATTGCCCGTACCAGCAGAGCCTACCCTTGTGCAGAGCCAGCCTTGCGGTACTTGAGCACTTTGGGGCAGAGTCAGTGCGGGAATCTCTGTGCCCAACAGTCAAGATACAACTGATTTACTTTTCTTCTCTTTACGATACCCTTTTCGTAGAATCTACGCTCTAATTTGTATACTGTTGTATTATGTGCACCTCTCATGTAGTCAAGCCTGTCACTCTGGGTAATCAAGAGCTGAATCAGTTTCAAAAACATCTTTGCCGTAGAAAGGTTCTGTCTAGCTCAGAAATAACTTGGATTTAACATAATGTGTATGAAATTGGTTTCACTGTTTTTCCTTAGAGAGACAAAACTTATCTTTGATCAAAGTAGCTCAGCCATAAAGTAAATCATTCTTCAAAACTCCACTGCAAACAAAAGCTAGGAGTCTCATTAACAACCCCCCCCCTTTGTTTTTTTAACATGCATGTAATGAACTGTATCAAATCTAAACACTAGTGAATGTATCCAATTAATTATTTTCTTCTCCAAGTTGGTTCACAGGGAGACGTCCAGAATTTACTGACCCCCGAGTGGTGGCGCAGGGAGAAGGAAGAGAAGGTAAGGCCCTGGGAGCTCCTGACTGTAACCCTTGCACGACAGCAGGCCACAGCTTGGCCATCCATCTTCTGTCGATAAAAAAAGAGTTGTTCCTGCTGCGAACAGTCCTC